GGTGGAAGAAAGTCCAGGCTGGTGAATTTTTTTTTCGTTTAATAATGGTTTCATACAAGTAGACAAATAGCCATTATTTGTTTTGCAATTTTAGTAAAATCTGACTGAGTTTATTTTATTTCTAGGAACCGATATCAGGACAAAAATAAGATGTGCGTGTGATAACAAATGTTTGTTATTTAATTAATATATGTGGGTATTGTTCAATTAATATGTGCATTATTTAATATTCTGATTCCTTACAAAAGAAAAATGGAAAATAATCTGTCATTGCTAGGGTTGAATATTAATTTAAAATCTCTTTTGCAGTCATACAATATCTTAATATTCATTTAAATTTGAAGTGAAAATGTTAGTTGGAGAATCTAGCCAAACTCCAGAGGTGTGTCCGCCAATATTGAAATGTGAATGTATATATTTATTTTTAATTAAAATCGGATAATAAGAACTTGTTATGAGTTTTTAAAACTTATGTACACGTGTTGCACGCGCTCATTTGTACGTTATTCTAGAGAGAAATAAATAGCCTTTTTAGCAAGTAAACCATCGATATGGAAATGTTGGCAGTTTTCTCAAAAAATGCTTGAATTCAAGAAGTTTTAGATTTGCGTGGTTTTTTCGAAGTTTCTCAAGAACCATTCGAGCCACAGAATTNCGTTGGATAGAGAATTGAATGGGGGGGTCATAACCCCCATGATCCCCCCCTGGAACCGCCCTTGGATGCGCAGGCCTTAGAATATCAGTAGCCGATCCAGTCTCTTTAATTTTTTCCACTGTGTTCCAAATATTTTGCTTTGTGCGTCGATTAAGCGATCTGCTCGTAAAGCCCTAAACGTCGATACAGCACCATCACCATTTTTATAGTAACATTTAATCATTTCTGGCATTCTTCGACAGCTGAACGATCCATATCTATTCCCAAATGGCAAACCTTCAACTAAAACAAAAACGCTTCGGATGCCGTTTACCTTTGACAGGGGACTTGAAAATGAGCAAAGACGCTCATTTTTGCATCTTTCCAGAGAGAACTAAAGGCCCTTTTTAGAAAGTGAGCCATCGAAAGGCAAATGTTGGCAGTTTTCCCAAAAAAGTCTTGATTTCAAGAAGTTTTAGATTTTTGCGTGTTTAAAAAAATGCAAGTATCTACTTTCCCCAAAACATTGTGCGTTTCTTACTAGGCAGCAGAGAAAGCGGTGGCGCACACCTTGATCCCCAATTCTCAAGAAATCGAACCAATTAACATTCACTTCAAAGAATTTTAATTCGACTTATTATCAATTCAGGAATACATTCCATGCACACTAATAATGCAATTATTCAAAGAGTATAAATTATCAGAACGAGCACGTTCTAATATCAACAAGTCCCTGGAGGAACTTTGTCTAGACACGCCCCCTATCAGCATTGGATGGCGCTGCCTCCAATCCCTGCGCGCCGACGATTGTTCTTCCTCCGACCGACCAATCCTCGCGCACGCTCTCCGACCAATCCCACGTGAACCCGAATCGGTTCGAGCGCCTTCGCCCGACATGAAGTAGTAATCGTATTCGAATTCTCAGCGTGATAGTGGAAGTTTGGTGCGGTTGGAGTTCAGTCATGCTGGGAACGCGCTGATTAGTGAGTGAATTCCTTCTAATTTGCCGAAACAGTGCGTGAATACGCGATGAATAACTTGTGGTCGGTGAGCTTCGATTTTTGACAATGCTGAGTCCTTTTATCGACAATCCTCAACTGGGCACCTACGGTTTTAGAGTCTCCCCGTCGCACAATGGGGGCACACCTCCGGTTCCGATCTCGCACCAGAACCCGGCCAGCGCAATGTCCATCTCCGATTTCGCCACTTACCCTCAAAATCACCACTTCCAGCCAAACTATGGGCACATGAGCTTCAACCACCCTGGCGGCTACCCGGGCCGAGACTTCCTCATGCGGCGGGAACCCGATTTTCCCACTGCTCAAACCGCCCCGACTAACCCCATGATGCTGCACCCGTCGGAAATACCGCCCCAACACCACAACATCCACATTCCGACCCAGATGCTGATATCTCGCTTGGAACACCATTCCAGCTATCAGCAACAGACGCAGCAATACATGAATCACCCCATGGCGATGAGCCATCATCCGGACAATCCTCTGACCGGCAATTTCTTTAAATACATGAAGCAAGGCAGGCAGCCCATCATGGTATGTTCATGGACCGATCTCGGGCCGCGCAACACTAGGAAAGTGTGCGGCAGGGAATTCTCCAGGATTGAGGACTTGGTGGCACATTTGGCGGTTGATCATGTCGGCGGCCCAGAAATAACCGATCACGCCTGCCACTGGCAGGATTGCAGCCGCAACGGCAAAGCCTTTAAGGCCAAATACAAGCTAGTGAATCACCTGCGCGTTCATACTGGCGAAAGGCCGTTTGTTTGTCCGTTTCAGAATTGTGGAAAACTGTTTGCTCGGAGTGAGAACCTGAAAATCCATAAGCGGACACATACAGGTATGCTTAACACGTTTAACTATTCGTTTCACAATAGGAAATATGCTAAATTCGTAACGACAACTGGGCGCTTGGTGCATAAATCTGCAGTTTGGGTCGTTGTGTCTTCTATGAGCTTTATGATTGGGTGTACGATTTTTGTGACTAGAACTCACGAAAACTCGTTTCAGAGAAATTCGATTCCTCCTCCTTCCTACGCTGCGGTAACGAGGTCTTAATCAATTGAATGAGGGCCGAATTGGGACGTTTCGACGTGCACAAACACATCATTACCGGCGGCTCGAATCAACTTATTCCGCTCTATTAACGTTTCCGAACTAATGGAAGCGATGACGACGACTCGCCCTCTCAGGCCCAATAATTTCTGCTGAAAATATTATTTACAAAAATTTCACTTCCCTTATCTACTGAAAATCAATCACCCAGGTAGCAAAATATGTTCGTACAAAATTGGTTATATGCAACATACTGGATGGCTCAATATTGTTAATAAACATTGCGCCAATATTGAAATGTGAACATTGTTACATATTCGTGAAATATGTTACTCCAATATTCAGTAAATATTGCCATACATATCCCAGGCAGCAAAATATATTCGTACAATATTGGCTACATGCAACACACTGGATGGCTCAATATTGTTAATAATTATTGCGTCAATATTGAAATGTGAATATATATATATATATTTCTTTTTAATTAAAATCGGATAATAAGAACATGTTATGAGTTTTTAAAACTTATATTCACGTGTATATCAGTTGTAAAAACTCATAACAAGTTCTTATTATCCGATTTTAATTAAAAATAAATATATATACATTCACATTTCAATGTTAGCGGACACACCTCTGGAGTTTGGATCGATTCTCCAACTATCATTTTCACTTCAAATTTAAATGAATATTAAGATATTGTATGACTGCAAAAGAGATTTTAAATTAATATTCAACCCTAACAATGACATATTATTT